CACACACACACACACACACACACACACACACACACACATATTCAGGAACCTGTTTCTAACTGACTCATCCCAGAATTTCTCAGATTTTGCTGTTCCTCCCAAAATTCCTTATGAGCAGTAAAAATATGCATATTGTTGACTAGTCTATCTATCTATCTATCTATCTATCTATCTATCTATCTATCTATCTATCTATCTGTCTGTCTGTCTGTCTGTCTGTCTGTCGTTTTATCTCAGCTGAGTTGTTTGTTTGTTTGTCTCTAGCAGGAAACAGTTGAGTGTGTTAATCTTTGTTTGTGTCTGAGCAACAGTGTTTCCGTCATGAAACTTTCCAAAAGCGAGGGAGAGGAAGCGCACTGCATACATCTTTAATGATAGCAGCAATCCAATATTTTGTTGCCCTTGTGAGTCCAGAAACCTGCTGGTGGTTTTATAAGAGACTTTCTCGAAATCTCAGCCAAATGATAAGCTCAGCAAACAGTTAATAGTTTCTCACATTCTCTTGGCAATAAATACGTTTTCAATGCTGGTCTACAAAGTATGTGACGTGTGAACGGTTTTGTGAAATCCAACTCTATATGTTAAATGAGTCACTGACAAGGATTTGCTGAACAACAAATCCGATATGTTTGTCACTTAAGGCCCATATTTATTAGATATTTAACCAACATACAGAATGTTTGATTACCATAGAGAAAAAAATGCCCCTCAATATTCAGAATAGAGGTCAACATATATAAGTTTCTCAAAGGTTGATTATTAAAATATGTGGTTACAGGCTACCCCTAGGTGTTGCTATTTCAACTTCACACTATAAGTCACAGCTTGGTAGATAAATGACAGGGTAAATTGTGGTAATTGTGCTATTTATTTAAATGAATATATAAATAAATAAATTGATTAATTAATTAATGTTTTGTGGGAAATTTGTTACATTCAAAATGTTTTGGGGTTGAATATCAGTACCAAATTATCTAATAACATGCACTGCTTTTTAGAGTGTGATAAGATTATAAAGTAATCTGCTATCATTAATTAGCAAATATCATTGCACCACATTGTATTATTTACAGTATACACACTATTCTAGGATTTTGTGTTGAGCAATATTATTTTAATATTTTTTGCAAAAATAATATTATAATCTGATTATTGAGTAACTAACAGCTATTTTTCTGCTTTTTGAATCACTCTAAACAGTGCTGTTAATCCCAAATCATTTTGAAATAAAGCTGAAATAAAGTAAAAGATAACTATTAGATGAATATATATATATATTTTGAATCACAGTGCTGTTAATCCCAAATCATTTTGAAATAAAGCTGAAATAAAGTAAAAGATAACTATTAACTATTAAACTTAAACTAAATGAAAATAAAATTACTGGAAATAAATTAAACCCAAGTAGTATTTTTTTTTCTCTTTTTTTTAATCAAAAACTAATACAAATCACACAAAAGTACATAACAAAATTACTAAAAATTAAACTAAAATGAACATGAAAACAGAAAATAAAAACCAAAATAGCATATGAATAACACTAAAGTAACTGATCAAAAGTAAGATTTTCCTAAAAAATATTCTATTTTGAATTACACCCATTTAAAAAGTTTTCATTACACATTTCTATCTGCATTATATATGATAATAATATACATTGTTCATTTTTTATTTGATTCGTTTTGTAAACAATTTGAGTGAAAATTTCACTAAAAACTGTGAGACCAGGACTAGTTGTTACACTTTCTCTGGTGTATATTTTTCAGTGCAGGTTTATTTGTGAAAGCCACAAACCTAAAACTTGAATAGACACAAACCATAAATTCTTGACTGCAAAAAAGAAGCAAGATTAATAACTAGAAAAAAGATACTGTTTGTTGAATACACATTACTTTTTGTGACTCTATATGGGGTCAGTTGTCTCTACAATAGACCTGTCATTAAACAGCTTTTTATACTTTTCAGCTAAATTTGAAGTTTCTGAATGACAACAAGGTGGACCATAAATCTTCTTTTGACATTAATTGTGTGGCACGTATGGTATACTTTACCTCCAGACACTGTTATTTTACATTGTTTCAGAAATAAACCATCATCACACTCCATGTTTCTTTCAACATTTACAAATCAATAAAAAAATCTCAAAAATATTTAGCTTGTGCACCCTGTCAATGTATGTGGAATCCATTCTAGACTGTGTACATAATGTATCTTCAGTCAACAACCCAAGGATTGTTCAGATAATCCCAATAACTCATCGCAGTTTTTCCCTGAGGTTTGCCCCCATCTCAGACCTGCTTTAAATTTTTTCAATCACCTTTTCAAGTAAGAATATTAATCTTTCTCTGTTTTTTTCGTGAGGACAGTCCAGCCCATTGCATCCTAAACTGCTTTTCACGTGATTAGTGATATGCGCCGACCTTCTGTCTCTTTCAAGGGCCGCTCTGTCCCTAGCCAAAACTTCTCTGTCTTTCTGCAGTCGGGCTCTGTCCTGTTCCAAAGACGCCTTGTCTCTGTTAACCGCAGCTTTGTCCTTCTCTACCTGGGCTCTGTCCCGCTGAAGCGCTGCTCTTTCCCGATCGGCAAGGGCCCTTTCCCGCTCTAGAAGGGCTTGTTCTCTGTCCAGGCCTCCAAGCTCCTTTTCTAGAAGCTGTCTTTCTCTTCGAAGTTTGGTTCTCATGATGTCCAGCGAGTGACTTTCTGTCGTCTGCTTGCCTTTTTGTCTTCCCCGCTTAACCAGATGCGGACTGGAGGCCGGGGGCACGTTCACCAAAGTTCCTTCCTCTTCCAGGAATTCCAATATTTCCCCTCCGACTTTAATCTGGCGTAGCCGCTTACTTGGATGAGGTGCATTATCATTGTCAGCTTCTGATGTGATCACTTGCTGGCTGATCTTTTCATCAAACTCTTCACCCAGAGCATCGTCCATGAGATT